TCTTTGAGATCCAAGACTGCGTCCTTTAAGATTAAACACAACTGGAGAAATTTGAAAATGGACAGAATGTTAAATTATATTAGAGGAATATTATTCTTTTTCTTAGGTATAATAATATCATGGTTTTGTAAGACTTTATTTTAGGTGATACAGACTGATGGTGAAGTTCAATGGTATTTGCAATCCCACACAGTTCCATATATAGATAAAGATATGTTGTTGTTGTTGTTATGTGCCATCGAGTCAGACCCGACTCATAGCGACCCCTCTTTGGGTTTCCTAGGCAGTATCACTACGGAAGTAGATTGCCCCATCTTCCTTCTGAGGAGTGGCTGGTGGATTTGAACCGCCAGCATTCTGGTTAGCAGTCAAGCGCCTTAGCCACTATGCTACCAGAGCTCCCGGGATATAGATATAGATATAGATATATATAAGTAAAGCAAATATGGCAAAATGTTAATTGTAGAACTTAGAGGTGGATATATGGATAATATTTAAAATTTTTCATAATACAGCATTGGGGGGTTGGGGAACAAGAGTTTGCGTTTTTGGGACTGTCCCAGGTGAAATTTCCATCTTTTACCTTTTCCACTCACACAAATGGCTGGGATAGAAGTATTGCTGTTGTTATAGTAGTAGTTAGTTGCCGATGAATCCATTCTGACTCACGGCAGTCCCACGTGTGCAGAGGGTGTTCAAGGCTGTGACCTTCAAAAGCAGAGTAAACAAGCCTGTATTCATTCCAAGGCATCTCTGGTTGGGTTCAATCACCAATCTTAAGCATTTACCCATTTGTGCCACCCAGGGACTTTTGGAGTAAGGGTGGTAGTGCAGAAAATAGCTGATGCTGAAGAAATATATTCAATCATAAGTCAACTAACTAAAAGTTCTACAAAACTTTTAAAGCAGTATTATGTCACTTATAGAGTCATTCCACCAAGGTGGTGAGAAGTAACTAAAATCTCTGGTTTTAAGCCTTAGCTATAAAAATTGATCTTAAAGGGTGGCATAAGAGGGATAAAAAAAGAATTATGAAGGATATAAGCCAAAGTGTTGTACAATTTAAAATGTTATTAAAAGATCAATAAAGAAACCAAAGGGACTGCAAGCTAAAAAAGACAAAGATTTTATAAGGCCAGAAAACAAAAATAAATGGGAAAAAAAAAAATCCCTTCCACCCCACCTTAGAGAATAAATAACATCTTTTCTTGAGTTAACTTACTGAATGTATTATAATCTATAAGCTGCAGAATACCCTTAGCATCTCTTAAAAATACCCTGCAGTTCTATTAGAGAATTTCTTGCAAAGCGGGATCTGAGGTTGAAGTCCTCTCCAAAGTTCCCAGGAGATTGTACTGACTTCTAAGAATGTCATAAGGAAATGAACGTAAGGGAATGATCTCAAATATGGAGAATGTTTAGTCTTGTTTAGAATATTAGAAATTAAAAGCAATCTTAAGGTAGAATAGTGGAAGAATATTCATTTCTCATGTGAATAACCATGAGATGGAATATTATTCAGAATATAAATGCTAAATTTGAAGAGTAAACCACCAAAAGGAAACAACAACAAAAAATTGCTTAGATTGTTAAAGTAAAAATAATATAATAAAATTAGATATTTTGTTGTTGCTAGTTGCCATCAAGTTGGAGCCAACTCACTGGCAACCTCCTATGTCACAGTAGAGCTGTGCAATGGCTGATTTTGCAGTAGACTGCCAGGACTTCCTTCCAAGGCACCTTTGGGTAGATTCAAACCTCCAACCTTTCAGCTAGTAGCTGAGTACGTTAACCATGTGCATCACTCAGAGATTTAAAAACTATATTCATGACTATTGAAAAAAAGTTAGGAATACAAAAAAGGACAATTATACAAGAGGATGAAATTTTTGTTTCCCACGTCTTCCCCAAATTGCTCTATCATATTGGTTTCTATTATTTTTTTCAGTATTACAAAAGAAAGAAAGATAAAGATGCCAAGGCTAGAAGGACTAGGGAATAGTATAGGCAAAGAGTACTCAAGATTGGACACTTAGATGTTATAATAAGGTCATTATCCTCAATAACTAAAGAATTATTTTCAATAATTACCTATTTAAAATAAGTAGCTATTTTCAGAGCAGCCCGAGTGAAACCACCCATTTTTCCCCTCTTTCTAACGGTAGGTCCCAAAAGGTACACACAAAACAGTGATGCTGACAAGAAATATACTTCTCTGGAGCCTGTGTTTTGGAGGGGGGTTGGTTTTTTGGTGGTTTTTTGTTTTTTGTTTTTTTTTTTTTGACTTTTTGACTTTTTGTATGTGTGTATGATTTGGGTGAAAGCTAACAAATTCATATTCCATCCAACAGTTCATAAATTTTGCTTCATGACATTGACTCAAAAAAAAAAACAAACCTGCCAAGTCACTTCTGACTCATTGCGACCCCACTGAGTTTCCAAGGCTATAAATATTTATGGAAGTTGATTGCACCATCTTCCGCACATGAAGTAGCTAGTGGGTTTCAGCGCACATGGAGTAGCTAGTGGGTTTCAACAGCTGACCTTGTTAGCAGGCTAATGCCTTACACATACATCATTGTTGTTGTTGTTATGTGCCGTCGAGTCAGCCCTGACTCATAGCGACCCCTCCTTGGGTTTCCGAGGCAGTATCACTACGGAAGTAGGATTGCCCAACCTTCCTTCCAAGGAGTGGCTGGTGGGTTTGAACCGCCAGCCTTCTGGTTAGCAGTCAAGTGCCTTAGCCACTATGCTACCAGAGCTCCTACACATACATCATAGCACTCTTAATTATGGCCAATCTTAGGAGTTCTGGTGGTGTAGTGCCTAAGGCATCTGACTGCTAACCACATTGGGCTGTAAGCAACAGATTGGTAGTTTGAACCCACTAGCTGCTCTGTAGGAAAAAGATAAAGCAGTCTGTTTCCACAGATTGAAAACCCTATGGGGGTCACTATGTGGCGAAATCGATTCAGTGGCAAAGGTTTGGTTTTGGTTTTATGGGATATCTTTATTTTCCAACGGAGCTCTGGTTGCATAGTGCCTAAGGCATTTGACTGCTAACCAGAAAACTGTCAGTTCAAACCCACCAGCCACTCCTCAGAAGGAAGGTTGGGCAATCTACTTCCGTAGTGATACTGCCTCAGAAACCCAGGGAGAGGTCAACAAGGCTATTTTAGTCTTGCCTGAACTGACAAGATATGTACTTCTCTAGAGTTTGTGCTTTGGGGGGGGTTGGTTTTTTTGTGGGGGGGACTTTTTGCATGTGTGTGTATGATTAGGGTGAAAGCTAACAGAGTAAATTCATATTCCATCCAACAGTTCATAAATTTTGTTTCATGACATTGACTGTAATCCTATTACAGCTCTCTTCCTACTTCCTCCCTGTGGTTATCTTCCCACCCCCCCCACCACCCCCCTCCTTCTTTCCTATGCATTCCTGCACTCTGAGCTATCTCCCTGTGTAAATGCTGCCCTTCTGATCTCCCATGGTTGATTATTCTAAGGAGTGTACCTACCCATAAACATTCACCTTATAAGCCTGTCCATGTCTGGCTGGAAGCCATGGGAGTTCAATTCCAGGCCTGAAGGGTGACTAAAGGCCATAGTCTTGGGGGTTTTACCAGTCTCTATTAGACCAGTAAGCCTGGTCTTTTTTATGATTTTGAGTTTTATTCTACATTTTTCTCCCACTCTATCCAGGATCTCCTATACTTACACCTTTCCAAGTGGCTGACAGTGGTAGCCAGGCACCATCTAGTTCTGTTTTTGGGGTTTGTTTTTTTTAACTGTGAAAGAACAATGTTGTTAAATTACTCATCTTTTTAAACAACAATCACAAAATATATTCCTATGGCATTTTAGAGTTTTATGGAGAACCTAACATAGATGGTCTGTTTTTTCCTTTTTTTTTTTAGGTTACTTGTTTGAAATTCATGAAGTATTTTTTCCTCAGAAACACAATGATTAGGGATCCAAATCTTCCCTCTAAAGCTTCATTTCCACAATCTCTCCCCCAATTTCCTAGTCTACATGACCAATGGCTATTTAGGACATTTAGGTTTTCCAGAAGCCTCCACACAGTTCTCCATTTCTATTATGCAATTTTCATAAAAAGGGTGTTTTTAAGCTGGGAAATGCCTAACAATTTTTTATCACCTAAAATTTATTAATATTCATTTTTTGTAACACTTAACTAACTTAAATTCCAGATGACAAATTTTAGCAATCAGAAACTTAAACTTTTAAAAACTTAAAAACAAAGTGCCAGTATGTCCTAATAGTTTTGGTGTGTGTTTATTAAGAGCCTCAAACATCAAAAGTAAGATGATACTCTTAAAAATTTAGTAACTCAGGTTTCAAGATGATGCATTTAAATTCTTTTTGTATAAAACTAATGACAGTCTATTATCGTGGGTTCTAAATGCTGAAATACTAGGTTATAAGACAAATACAAAAACATGACTAGAACTTAAATTCTTTGGGTTATCTACTAAGCCCCCACTTTTAATACAGAATTAATACTTTTTATCTAAAATGATATACTTTAGGACAGTCTGTGAAATTTTCACAGCTGTCAGAAAAGCTTTAGAACAATAAAGTGAGGATTAAAAGGTATGACATAACTTAAGACAACAGTACAGTACAAGTGAAACACATAATATCTTAGATTGTATGTCTCTAACTATATTCCTTTTTTTTTTTACAAGAGCCATTTAGCACCTAACAGCAGCCTTTTGATTTTCAAACTTTTACTTCCTATCAGGTTCCAAATAAATGAGTCCTAAGATTTCCTATAGGACAGACTTCAGTTATTCAGTCCTCTTTCTACATAAAGCAAATACTCATTTTAATTTCTGTTGGAACTGGGTTTTATGCTCCAAGCTTTTCACTAGCGTGTTTTAAGATGTTCAAAAAACATCTTTCCCAAGCTCCCTTCTGGTCCACACAGAACAGTAAGAATGTAAAAGACAGAACTGGCAGAAGATCTGGAATATATCTTAGTCATACTTGATCTTTTCTCTCAGGGGCTCCTCCTTATAATGGGAAATAATTTGAATCAGGATGTAACAGTTGATAAGAAGGAAGAACAAGCCAGCTAACCAAATAAACAAAAAGGTGTTCTTTCCCTGAAACTCAAGAACATATGCAGGAGCTAGCCATAAGGCCTGTCCTATAAACCATAACATTAGGAGAACTACAGCTCTTTTCCAAGGTATCCTCACTAGTGGCATCACAGGAGGCAGAAGGCAGAGATACCAAAGAAAGTATTGGGAGGTGCAGACTTTGTTAAAAGTCACAAAAATGGCCGTATGAAGAAAACAACAAAAGATGAGGTCTCTGTAATAGGCGAAAGAAACTGCTGAAAGCAAGATGAATTGTGGCAGGAATGCAGCAAGTCCTAGGGAAAAACTCCACTTGCTCTCTGCAGTCAAATACAGCATGTAGAAGTATGGAGAAAAATTGTGACGGCTATCCCTTCTAGTCAGGTGATAAAGGTAGGCGTTCTCCAAAAATTCCCAACCATATTTACAATAAAAAGCAATGGTCAGGGCAAAAAATGTAAGTCCAGCAACTGCTACAAAGAGCAGCACAGCCCGACTGCACAACCTCTTCAGAAATTCATATAAACGAGCCTTGAAAGAATAGCCAGACTGACGAAAGGCTTCATCGTCTCGTTCTGGAAGCAAGTGGAGGGCTATGGGAAGGATATAGGTCACTGGGTACATCTTCATATGCACCGCGAAACCATAAAATACAGCGGCACAAGCGATGAGTCTTGTCTCTATGAAGTACAAGGTCATAAGCACCAGGGAGGCGACAACTGAGTCCGCATTGCCTCGACTGGATACCGCCATAGGCAAGGGGTTAAGAAGCCAAAAGACACAGTAGCCACACGCCTGGCGGCGTCCCAGCCCCTTAAGCAGCAGCAGGCGGTATAAGAGGAAAGCGGTGAGCAAGTCGCAGCTGATGAAGATAAATTTTCCGAAGAGTTCACTGAGGTAGATGTTGGGAGTGAGGAGCCAACCCAGCAGAGGAGTGTAGCGATATGTGGCTCGCAGATACGGGGAGCGCCCTTCCGTAATGAAGCGCGCGGCGTCGGTGAAGACGTGATAGTCGATGTCTGTATACCTCACGAGCATGGTCCGGTCCTGGAAGACCCCGTAGAAAACCAGAGCGACTCGAGCAAGGAAGGCCACACCAAATACCCCGGTGGGGGGCACCCGCAGGTTCAGGAACCATTTTTCCCAATATTCGCTCGTGCCCATGATCTTACTGCGCGACAACCGCTCAGCCCAACGATACAGTGCCTTCGAACCTCTGAACTCTGCTTCAGTTTCCCACTTCAGTTTGCCGGCACACCTCCTACTAGCTAGGATACCAACCTAAACCGCGGGCCGGCCACTTCCGTCATGAAGCTCCGCCCCCATTCTGCTTCCGGCTCAGGGTTCTCAGTCTCCCCAGCCAAAGAATGCGCTCCTGGCTCCAGGAGGGGCGGGATTTCCGGTTCCCGGAGAGGTGACATCCCTTTGGCCGAGGTGGGCTCAGGATGGGGTTTTTATCGAGCGGAGCGAAGATGGTGTGTGCGTGTATGTGTGTGCGTGCGTGTTACCCCCCCCCCCCCGCTTGCCGGAACTCATCAGTGGAGGCGGATTTTCGCCACGAATCCGTAGCTGCGGTTATATCCGTTAGGCCCTCAAGCTTTACTCCGCCCTCGCCCGTAATCCCGGGGATTTTGTGGCTCCCAGGTCAGATCTAGAATGAGATGAAGGAACCCAGAGTGTGTATGCCCCATGTAGTATATGGGACATACTTATATTATTAAAACTATTCGTTGTTCTAGAGGGTGGACAGGTATTAACTTGGTTGAAGGGAAGGGCAACGTACAGTAAGTGAGAGGTCAGCACGGAGTGATCAAGGTGGTGGAAGACGGGAAGGAGCACAAGAATTAAAGGCAAAAAAGGTGAATACCATTACATACACAAGGAGCTCTGGTAACCTAGTGCCTAAGGCACTTGACTGCTAACCAGAAGGCTGGCAGTTCAAACCCACCAGCCACTCCTCTGAAGGAAGATGGGGCAATTTACTTCCGTAGTGATATCGCCTGGGAAACCCAAGGAAGGGTCACTATGAGTCGAGTAGGACTTGACAGCATATAACAACAGCAATTACATACACAATCCTTCAATAATAGTAATAACAATTTACGAGTGGATACATAGATAACACTCAGTCTGAACATGTTGCAGTCCTTAGTGGGTAAAATAACCTAAGGGAACAGCCGTCTTGACCAAACTTTAACATTTTTTTCTCTTTCACTTTCCTCTCCTTACAGGCCTTCAGTCACTCATTTCTGTATTCCCCCTTTTCTCTCCTTACAGACCTAAGTGTACCTCCCTCATTCTCTCCTCCTTGTAAAGTTAATCTTTTAGGACAGAAGGGGGGTGTGTGTGGTAAAGCAGTTTCTCCTAACAACCCACTCCACATTCTCCACTCTTTGTAAAGTTTATCTTTCTGGGCAGGAACAAGGGGGCCATAAAGCATTTTCTCCAAGGCTGGTTTTGTATCACTGACCAGAGGAATAACAAAAGGGTCACAAGGTGAAGACAACTCATCCCAATAAGAAGAAAAGGTTGTCAACATTCCATAGAACCTCCTACCCCATAGCCCAGTTCCACTTAAAAAACTCGGGGAGACAGTCTTCTGTGGATACAGTACCCGTCTCCTTGGATATCAGTACTCAATAAACTCTCTTGGTTTTGACTTCATCCTGGAGTAATTGGCTTTCCATGCCACAGGTATCTAAGGATTACATTTGTCCCATACTGAACTGGTGGAAAGGTGAGTGAAATTATACCCATGAATATATATAGGTTTGACAGAGGCTATGTCTACCTGTGTATTTATATGTGCTGAAAATATATCCATGAATGTAGTAGACACACAGGGGACAAAGTTAAGACAACGTCTGAGTCATAACCCAACAGTTTGAGAGAATGAGTCACTGGGTATGGAGGCTCAAGACCATAGTCTCGGGGTATACTAAGTTAATTGGCATAACATAGTCCCCAAAGACAGTGTTCTGCATCCTTTGGTGAGTAGTGACTGAGGTCTTAAAAGCTTGTGAGTCGCCATCTAACAGGCAACTATTAGTCTCTCCCCATCTGAAGCAAAGAAGGGTGAAGAAAATCAAAGATGCAGGGAACTATTAGTCCAATAGACTAACGGAGTATATGAACTCCAGCCTCCTCAACCCTATGACCAGGAGAACTAGATGGTGCCACTGCTGACCACTCTGAAAAGGATCATATTAAGAGGTCCTAGATAGAGTGGGGGAATTATGAAACAGAATTCAAAATCATTAAAAAAAAAAAAAAAAAACCAGGCTCACTGGTCTGATGAAGACTGGTAGAACTGTTGAGACCATAACCATTAGAAACCCTTCAAGCTAGGAGCTGAACTTAACCCCTGTGACTCAACTGTCAGCCAAATGATGGACAGGTCTGTGAGGTGAACAGTAATATCAGGAAGGTATGCACTCATTAGAACAATCAAGCATGTGAGACCAAGAGGGCAGCATTTGCCCAGGGATAGAGCTAGGAAAGGAGGAGGGAAAGGGAAAAGGATGAAGGGAAGGGGTGGGCACAGGGAGTAAGTGGGAAGTATGCTGGTACAGTGTAGGGATTGCAGTAAATGTCACAAAACAATGTGTATGTATTGTTGAATGGAAAACTGATTTGCTCTGTAAACTTTCACCCAAATCACAATACTAATAATAATAGGACAAAAAAATAATTCATTGTTTATCTGAAATTTAAATTTAGCTGTGCAACCTGTATTTCACCTGGCAACTTCATGTGTAGGGGATGAGAAGAGAGGAGAGCTTCACAGAGTTTCTAAACTGTCATGCCCTCATGTCTCACTGCCCTTGTATTTGTCCTTCATTCTGCCAAGGTTGTGTTCCCCTCCCTAGTCACAGTGGCAAACACCTACTCAGTCCTTCAAGCCTAGAAGCTCACAACCCACTGCCCCATCATGCAGTATGATTTAGATGCCAGCTCTCTCTACTGACTGAGGGTGGATGGACTGGGGTGGGTAGAAGAGAGGGTGTCTAAGCTCCAGAAAATCACACACACAAGACCATTCCCTGCTACATAAAAACCCTGTCCAGCGCTTACCTTCACAGTGCACCATAACTCTGGTCATACCTTGTTATGGCATTTCACACTGCTTTGTAATAACTGATTTTTTGTTCTTGTTATAGTTTCTCTCTCTGTTTTCCATCAAGACCCCTGGATTTCCTTGAGAACAGAGATAATCTTCTTCTGTTCTATACCTCAGCATCTAACATATTATCAGATTTCTAGTAGAGAATCAATAATAAAAGTTTAAGTTTTAATGTTCCTCCCACCAGAATATTTCTAGAGTGGCATCCTTGGAGTGCCCCCAACTCCCAATCTTTTTTTTTTTTCCCCATATGTCCTTTACTTCCCTCAAGCTCTTCCCCTTTCTCCTGCCTTACCCCAATCCTACTTCCATAAATTCCTCACCCAGGACTCTAACCCACAAGCTCTTTCTCTTCATTGACCAATTGTTGACTTACTGTCTGCATCACAGAATTTGATACTTTATTTAGATTGTATTCATAATCCAGTCAATGAGATTGTGGGGTTTTTGAGGGAAGGAATTATGTTTTATCCTTAAATTTACCTAAGTCACAAAGCCAGCAAATAGCAGAGCTGGAACTTAATGTAGGACTGTCTGACCCAGAGGGTTCTTAAGGACTGTACAGCTAACCTCCATATAAAATGTTGACTTTGATTTCTAATTTCCCTCTCCACCTTCTCTCATTGATCTCTTGTCTTAATCCTCTCATTATTCTATGTCACTGTACTCCAGCTCTGATTTATTCTTTTCCTCTGCCAGTGATAGATGAGTAAGGCTTAGTAGAGGAAAGTTATGACTGGGTTGGTTTAGGCGGTATAGCACGAAGACCACAGCTAATCTGTCCCTACAGGACTGACCTAGTAGAGAAGTGGGAGACACCAATTTTGGGCAAATAACAAGGAACAACTAATTAAAGAAACTAAGCTTGGGCCACTGATGTCAAAGGAATAAAATGTGGAATAGTTGTGGATGAACAAGGGACCAAAGTCCTGTAAAACAAATTGGAGTAGATGAAAGGTCTGACTTTTGTTACTGTTTCTAGTTGGGGCAGAAGCATCACAGGGTCTAGAGATGCCATATTGAGGCTTTTTGTGTTGGGCTTGGGGATTCCATTTTCTCACCTCTTCTGAAAGAGCAACAATTATTTAAATGTTCAGTTGTTTGTTATCTCTTGACCTATTACTTAAAATCCTTCCTAATCCCACCTTTTACTATCTGTTCCCTAGATTTCCATCCTTTTGGAGCCAATCGCTGGGGAAAGAACATATTCATAGCTCATCCCTAGTATCCTTAGCCAGGACCTTGACCTTGGTCATAAGGCTGTATATGCTTTCATTACCTTTCTAGATCCACTCTCATCTTTTCTGCCCTGCTTTTTGCTCCAGGATCTTTAAACTTGATGCACTGCAGCATCTAGTCTTCTTTGCCCTCTGGTTTCTCATTAGAATAGGCCAATGGGAGGCACTAGCAGCAGATCTGCTAGTGGCTGGGTTCTTCTACCCAAGGCCATGACTCCTGTTGGATCTATAACCATCTCCCTTGGTGCAGCTCTCAACAGGTTCCAATAACTCTCCCTTCAGAGTCAAAGGTAATAATGGCTTCCTAGTGTTGCAAGTCTCTGGGTGCTTCACCATCCCTTGCTGGTTTATTAATCCTGCCCTAACCTTTGTAAATAACCCCTTCATTGAATCATGTTCAATTAGCCCTTTGAGTATGCCATTTCCTGCTGGAACAAGGACTAGTTTAATCATTTCTTTTTTTCTAAATCTTGTTTATAATTCTTCCTTTGTAATTTTATTTGAATCTGTTCCTTTCCTTTCATGTCCAGCATCCTGCACCTCAGTCCAGATCCCTCATCATGAACCTCAGTTTAATGATGTACACTGAACATCTGTGCTATACTAGAATCTGTAGCAATCACGTTTCCCATAAGCTTTTGTAAATCTCTTAACTGGTTTAATGTCACCTGTCTCAATCTCATTGCCAGACTGATATTCATAAATAGTACTTAAATTAGATTCCTTCCTTCTTCAATTAGCCTTCAGCTGCCTACGTAAAAATAATAAACCCTTCAGCTTGAATTCAATCCCTCCATTATTGA